CATCATTGCCTCTTTGGATACAAGCACGTGAAGGATTCTTGGAGACACCTTTTCCCAACTATCCCCCACCCATCTCTCTTGTCCAACATCGTCGATTGTAGTCTTTTTCTTTAAAGACTCCCTTCCCATATGCTCAATACATATGGTCTTGTATCTTCTATGGCATATCTGGAAGGCACGCAATGAGAAAGTCTTTCAAGGTACCACTTCTTGGCCCTCTTCCGCTTGTAACATGGCAGTGAATGATCTCATACAATGGTAGTCCTGCCCAAAGCCTGCTAGACACATTACTCCCCATCTGTGCCAGCCCATGCATTAATCCCTAGCACCAATCTTCTCCACCGTCAAGCAATCCCCTACTTGAGATTTACTATGATGGATTATTCATAAATGATTCCAAGAAGGTGGCTTATGGCGTTGTTGCTATCAACAATCATGGAGAAATCGGCTAAGAAAGGGCATGTACTCTCCTTTGTTCATCTCTAATTGAAGCAGAAGCAAAAGCACTTCTTGAGGCATTCTTCCTGGCACAAAATTGCTCGATTGATCCCTTGTCATATATGGTCTTATTGTCTAGCCCTGATACTGACTCTTGATTCACTCCCAACATCTTAGCCGTGGAAAATTGATGCGTGGCTTGGAATTTTGACTACTATCCTCAAAAGAAACCCGATCATCAAGGTTGCTTTCTTCATACGAAAGTTTAATGCAATAGCAGATTGTGTTGCCCGCTCGTTAGCACATGATGAGCTACCTCATGATTTGGTTACCACTCTTAACATTTTAGCACCCTTCTTGTGTAACCCATGCAGTAGTAACCTTTCTCAATGTGAAATAAACTCAAGTTTCCCATTAAAAAAAACTATCTCTTTTCTTTATTTTAGCCGTAATTTTCTTGGTGATGTGACCAACTTAGCGTTGGTAATATTTTATTTACCTCTATGTCCTTAGTATTTTTATTTATTAGAGTGACATAAGTTTTTTTTAAGTGGGATTCGAACCTGTGACCTTTAAGTTCAAAACTAGCCATATACCACTAGACCATATAATTGTTATTCACCTTGTAAAATGATTTATTATAGATATCGATGAAAAGGAGTTCAGTTGGGGTCTGTTTACCTACATATATCATTCTTGAATAACAATTTCAAATATTGTAACCATCCTATTGATCAAAAAATATGTGGTTAAATGAAACCAATCGGTACAATTCCCGAACAATCATATATAAAAAATTTATATAATTTAGATTTTTCTTGGAATGCCAATATTAATTGAAGTTCATTTAATACATTGTTTGTAAAAATGAGAAGAAAATGAGTTAGATTTCCTTTATAAGATATAATTATAATTAGAATGTTTGATGGATATGAATGAGTATGACCGAAGTGTTGAAATGTGTGAGCCTGTAATATAATTATAGGACATAGTCGATTGGGTTCGGTGCACAACTGCACATACTTAAATTTTTCAAAATCACGCTAAACCCATAGCCCTCGTTGGAAGAAATTAACCTAAAGATAATATTGGGTGAATTTTCATGATAAAATCGAATAATATTTTATTGGATATCTACCGTGGGTAAATTCCCAAAATAATGTTTTTTTATTTATTTACCACCAATATGGTGGTTTTAAATATATTTACACAGATATTGTGTTTTTGTGGGGAAAGAGATGCGGGTTCGCAGGAGACTCAAATTTAGCAGTTTTAAATGCGGATCCAAAGTGGACTATTGCGGACCCGCACCAGACTCGTGCGGACGCGCATAAAAAAAAAGAATGTGCCAGTCCCGTGCGAGTACGCATAAGCTTCATCTTATCTCTTTATCTTCTTCTTCCCCATCCTCTCGTCCGCAGCGATGCCACAAACCCTCCCCCTCTCATCGCCAAAACCAACCATCGCCAAACCCCACCAACGCCGACAGCCACAAAACCTCCCACTCACACGCATTCGTCAACGCGGAAAGGGTCGAGAGTCACGCGGAAGAGCAAGAGAGAAGAGGACGAACGAAACCAGATCTGTGTTTTCTGGTTTTGATGTCGGACTCCGACGAAGAACAGGCGGCTGCCGGAGGAAGAGGACGGCAAGCACGCGGCCGGTACCAAGGTGAGCGAGCACCGATCGGAAGCTCGCCGCCGGCGACCGGAATGTCGCTGCCGGCGGGTTTTTTCTGCTTCTATTTTTTTTTTTTTTTTTGTAGTTCCTAGGATTCTTGACAGTCATTCCACGAGACGACCACCTACGACGATTGATACAACTCCGGTCGATTCAGTACTCTTTTGGCCACATGGTGAACATCGTGCCGACTCAGTTTGGCAAAACGAGGTAAGTATTTTATTTCATTAAAGTTCATTAGTTAGTTAGATTAGAATTTTGTGAAATTAGTATTAGTTTGATTAGATATATTTTACTAAATTAGATTGATTTTACTAGGTGAATTGAAATATTATAATTGCATGTGAAATTTTGTGAAATTAGTATTAGTTTTTATTATATATTTTTTCCTAAATTAGATAGATTTTACTAGGTCAATTGAAATATTAAAATTTGCATTTGAAATTTTGTGAAATTATTATTAGTTTTCATTATATATATTTTACTAAATTAGATAGATTTTACAATATGTTTTGAAAATAGAATTACGCCATGAAATATAATTAATATAAGTTTTATGCACTATAGGCTGGTGATCGCGTTTACCAGACTCGAGGTACCACCAATTTGGTCACGTACCATCCACGTTATGAGCCATATTCCAGGATGCCGGTTTGTTTAGCGTTCAGCAGTTGGTCCCTATGACTGGTTGTATAGATGCATCTTTGATCACTACTCTCGTAGAGCGTTGGCGTCCTAAGACATCGACCTTCCACATGCCGGTCAGTGAGGTTACGATAACTCTTGAGGACGTTGCCACAATGAGCGGTCTACCGATCGATGGTGAGGCCGTCATAGTAGACGTACCAGATCGGGAGTGGTCGGAGACGTGTATCATACTGTTAGGACATGCTCCTAACGATCTTAGCGAGGGTGTCGTTAGGATTAGTTGGCTTAGGGAGCATTTCAACAATCTGCCGCCAAATGCATCATCAGATATTACAGGGCAGTTTGCACGAGCGTATGCCCTATCTTTGATGGGGTGTATATTGTTCCCCGATCGGACTGGAGCTACAGTTCATCTGCAGTATCTACTCCTGTTGGAGAATTGGCGGACCGCTGGAGGCTACGCTTGAGGAGCAGCTGATCTAGCTTACCTGTACCATGAGATGGGTAGGTCGGTTCTGCATATGACGCAGTCCTCTTCCACCGGAGGTGAACTTGGTGGCTGGGTCGTCTTGCTGCAACTCTGGGCGTGGGAGCGATTCCCAGTGATAGCACCATGACATACAGTGACGGATGAGCCTATTACAGAGGACGCATATCCACGTGGTGCTCGATGGCTTTCGGCCATGACCCGTCAGCATGGTGACCAGCTCTTCAGTTATAAGTTGTTTTTTGACGAGCTAGAGGCAATCGTGGTTAGTAATAACATTTCATACAAGAATAGTTCTTGGTTCACATTAGTTTGTTTTAGACTAATGAGTAATAATGTGCCCACCTTTCTGTGTAGTGGCTCCCTTACTGGGAAAGAGACCAGCAGTTTAGGGGTTTTGTGATCCAGTCAGATACCTTTCGAGCAGTGGTTCCACTGATATGCTTTTCAGTAGTGATGTGGCACCATCCAGATCACGTACTCCGAAAGTTTGGCATGATGCAGAACGAGCATCATCATCCAGCTCCTGAGTCTGAGTTTAGGTGGTTTATTCGCCAGACAGTTCGTGGGTCATCGTGAGGGCAGCTGAAACACCCTAACCCGGCCGGGTACTACTTTTACTAAAATGCCCTTGATAACTAATATACTCAAATCTTAAATTGAAACTGGGAAAAATTTTAATAAATAAAATACTGAAAACACATACTTGTAGCTCAGAGCAAAGCCCTAACACGTGGGCAAATTAAACTCAAACTTTAAAATCTCAAACTGATCTCAAAATAGTCTCCAGTCTGTACTCATCATCATAAATGTATATAACTAATAATCTCTGAAGTTGTTGCTACTGAAATCGTTGACTACGCATCCTCCGTGACACTTATACTACTCTCCTATAGCTGGCTGCCCTCGAAATCGCTGCTCACTAACTGCTCCTCTAGCTCCTCAAACTGGTGAGTGAGATGGGGTCAGTCTACGCCCTTACGTTTAACCTCTTATTAAAACTTGAGCACTTTACTTACCTGTGTGGAAGTTGTTTTGTACTTCCACTATCGAAAAGCTTAACTCTTAAAACTGTATGGGAGTTACTGTTACTCCATTCTTAAATCTCAAAGCTTGACTTAAATACTTGACTGACACTGGGATCCCTCACTAGCTAGTCCGGTTGCCAACTCATACGTATGAGAAGCCATCAAGGCTTTCCTTAAACTTAAGCTTAGTTAGGGAAGTCGTAACGATTCATCCCCCTAACATCTTAAACTTATCGTGGTGGCTCTTCACCACGATTCTCAAGGGCATAACTGCTGCCCATCTTAAAAGTCTCAAGAGCATAACTGCTGCTCTGTCTCAAAGATCTCAAGAGCATAACTGCTGCTCTATCTGGAAATCTCAAATGGCAACGGACTGGCGCTAGTGACTAAAAACACTTAAAATGACTTCACCTTCTTAAAGGTGCGTTACTTCTTAAAAAGGACTTGCTTCTTAACTTCAACAATAACTTATAAACTCAAAGCTTAAATTTAAATAAAACTCATGCACAGTCACATCAAACATGGCTCAAACAAAATCACATATCATCAACCATAAGCACAATCAAGCAATAACAATCACTTCAACAGATACTCAAGGCTCGTCAAACTTAAAAGAGTACGTAAGGCGTAGAATTTACCCCCTTTACACTCACCTTACTTCCGTCGGAACTGGCTTGATTATGTGATTTTGCCCTAATTTGCCAACACCACATGTTTGGTTAGGTGCCGCCTCCTGCCTGCTTAATAATGGCTTTCTCCTGCCTGCTTATCCACCAAGCTGAATCGTCAGCTTGCTTGCATATTGGTCCTGCTTGCTTAAGCAGGTAGCTGACGTCAGCTCCTTTGAAATACTGCTTAGGCCTCCTACTGCCAGCTATCACCCCCAACCTCGTCTGATCATTGTCCTGCTTTCTTAAGCTAGCACCTCTCGTGGTAGAGAGCATTACACCAGCGGCTCACACACAATCTCCTGCTCTTTTGACCTAGTTGCTTTAAGCAGGTGGTGTACTCCGTTAAACCGCAAGCAGCCTGGTCAAGCTAGCTTCTCTCGTAGCAGAGGCGATACCTCCTGCCTGGTCAAGCTACCTGCTCTCGTAGTATAGGCGATGTCTCCTGTCTTTTTAATAATGGCTTTCTCCTGCCTGCTTATCCACCAAGCTGACTCCCCAACTTGCACATTGGTCATGTCGTCGGCTCCTTTTGCAGGCCTCCTACTGCACCCCGAACCTCGTCTGATCATTGTCCTGCTTCCTTAAGCTAGTGCCTCTCGTAGTAGAGAGCATTAGACCAGGCTCACATACAATCTCCCGCTCTCTTGACCTAGTTGCTTTAAGCAGGTGTTCTGCTCCTTCAGATCGCAAGCAGCCTGGTCAAGCTAGCTGCTCTAGCACTAGAGGCGACAACACCGCTTGCCTGCCGCTGGAGAAGCAGCCTGGTCAAGTTAGTCTCCTAGTAGAGAGCGATTGCTGGCGTGATGCCGCTCGAACGACACCGCCTGCCTGTTTGATTTCGCCAAAACCAGCCGCATCGGACGAGCAGCTCTCAATGTCTCCCGGAGAATTGCCGTCCAACTTGCTTAATCAGACACCTCTCATAGTAGGGAGAGATGTGCCGCTTTAGCATCCCATGTCCGGAGAACTATTCGATGCAGAGTGAAAAAAGGCTGCTTAGGATTTTAGGTTTTAATTAGCTTGAGTGTTGCCGAGTGGGGCCTGCTCTAGTAGTAGAGGCGATGACACCGCTTGCCTGCCGCTGGAGAAGCAGCCTGGTCAAGTTAGTCTCCTAGTAGAGGGCGATTGCTGGCGTGATGCCGCTCGGACGATACCGCCTGCCTGTTTGATTTCGCCAAAACCAGCCGCATCGGACGAGCAGCTCTCAATGTCTCCCGGAGAATTGCCCTCCAACTTGCTTAATCACACACCTCTCATAGCAGGGAGAGATGTGCCGCTTTAGCATCCCAGGTCCGGAGAACTGTTCGATGAAGAGGGGAAAAAGGCTGCTTAGGATTTTAGGTTTTAATTAGCTTGAGTGTTGCCGAGTGGGGCATGGGATTAGGATTGGGTTTTATCTAACTCGAGGTAATACGGGTGAGTTTAATTTGTAACTAAACTAGCGTCCGTAACTTATTCGATTTATATCGAAACTCGACACCGTTCGAACCAATAGTTCACGTTTTTAATCCTCCTCGATATTACGATGAAACTTGATGAATTTAACCAAGGGTAGAATAGTCATTTTGACCCTTAGAAAGATCAGGGTGTAACATTTCCTCCACCCTTACAAAAATTTCGTCCCCGAAATTTGCTTGAATCTCATTCCTCTGTCAACACCATTCTTGTACTTCCTTGCCTGAAAATTTACTCTCTCTATATGAACCTTGATGATGTTTGTTGCTTGTCCCGTATAGTTTACCTCACCTCAAGTTATTTCCTCTTGACCATAAAAGGTATTCTCAACAAGCTCATTAGCATCGAGTAGCTTTGAGTGGCTAAGGCACTCTCCCTTCTTAAATGCCTCTGATGGTGTAATGGCATTCGTATCTCTTGTTGTTCTCAACGATTTGTCTTGGGTCTCTACGTAGGATTCCTTAAGAGCTTAAGGAAGTAAATTATTAGCCAGCTATTCAGGTCATGACTCGTTGTAACTTCAGCTCATACCAGGCCCGGACCTTTGTCCACCCTATCTTGACTGCTAACAACTCTCCTTGGTATAGAATGTTTGACCTACTTAATGATTGACTCTGATGCTGGTTCCTAGGTATCACTTCTTCTCCCTTTTTAGGGCTCATTATGCTCCACTTGATACGCACATTTGATGCCTGATTCACCATATCTGGTGCCTTTAGCATGAAAAAATCCTTTACACGTCCCTATTGATGTTCTTAATACCCCTTTCAACCTTAGGGTTACATATGGCGGCTTGTCCTCCATCTAGTCAGATGGTAAAACTCCTTTAACGTAACTCTCGTCCGGATTGACCTCATGGGTCACCTAGGTCCTTGTATCTCTTACTTTCTTCCTTGATGCCTTGTCTTATCCTTTAACCATAAATTGAGTGGTCATCTCCTCGTTACTTCTTGCTTAACTCTGAAATATCATACTACTGCTTTTACTTCCTGTATGCATTAAAGGCATCCTTTGCATCTTTCTCTAGCTTGCTAACAACCATATGACTCCCTTCAAGAGTCATGAACTTCCCTTTGGCTTACCTGTTCACTCCTAGCGCCAAACTTAGCACCTCCTTATCGCCACCTGAATTTGAAGTTCTCTTATTATCCATTCTGCTACTCTTAGCCCCAGCTGAAATTCCTCATACAGTTTCCCCCGTCCGGTAGAGTTTTACCTGAGAGATTAACACATTTCACCAGCATAGGCGATTTTGGTTTCACTTTGTGGTATTCTATCAGGTTCACTAAACTTGTAGCCCTCTTACTTCGTTACTCGTGACTCTTCTCCTTGATGTTCCTTTCTCGGTTTAGATGTCCCTTATTCGCGACATAGTCCTCTAGGTGTCCATATTCTCTTCTCACTTATGTACCTTGACCGATAAAGTTTTCCCTTCGACCGTTCTGGACCACCACACTTCTACTTTAAAGTTGACCATTGAGCTTCTCCGTTTTTGCTGGGCTTCCTATGGTCCAACTTATTCTCCACTGGCCATTACCTTAATGCCTCCTTGTTGACCTTCGTATTCTTTCGCCGGCTCTTCCTAACTATCTTTCTCCCTGAATTTGACGTTTTATCAACTACCACCCTTTTCACCATAACTTTCATTATAGCTTGTGGTTTCCTCCTTACTTCTACAACTCCTTCATATGCTTGGTACTAGCTTTGATCTACTCGGTTTAGTAGCTCCTTGTGATGAGGCCAAACTCAGGTCTCAAGGGATCAAAGTCGCGCAGAGAGCTAGCTTGGTCAGGAATTAGATCTCGAACGAAAACAGAACTCGACCCTAGCTTGGTCAAGCTCTCACAAACTCAATTTCGGATGGAAACGAACGGGAACCTTACACCTGGAAGGATGCACACTCGTTATGAGGAAGCTTTCGATGCAATCGATGGCGATTCTCGATTGATAAGCAAGGTCAGCAAGTCTTTGATCGCAACCAAAAACCAATCAAACTCACAAACTCTCAAGTTTGGGAATTGGAATAAAATTCATTCAATCAACATCTTCTGTTCAACCCCTTCACGCTCCAAGCCTTTATAGGCAATTACAACCACCATCCTAAGCTTAAAAGGAATCAACACTAATCCTAGTTCAACTATAACAATAACTACTACTAATCCTTGCGGCACAAGGAAATCAAGTCTTACATTACAAGGAAAAACAGCTTAACATAGTTACTTTGGCCGCCTTGTTCAAGGATCAAACGAACTCCAATTCTTCAACCAATGCCCTTACGTTGTAGATTGTGAAATGTAGTTTCATGGGGTACTCGTCTCTGGCCATGGTTCTCCCCCATCTGTCCGGAATGAAGCCCTAAAGTAGTCACCTCCAACTCAGTCCCAGACTTAGCCATTTTTGAACAAAATTCCAGTTTCTGGCTAGCAACTTGGAGGCTTTGGAAAATCATCAAAATGGCTTCTCCTGGCTTCTCGAATGCTTCCATCATGTAGAGAAACATCTCTAGTCCAGCCCCAAACTCTTGCCTTGTATTTCCTTCGAGCCATTTGAGCGTAGCAAGCTTCCAAAGATGGTATCCTGCAACATAAAAATGACTCGGACAAAATTCACCCTCCTTATCCGTGATTGTTCCTGCTTTTTGATCGATCCTTTGAGGGTTGTAATTCGAGAGGTTTGGGATCATATCACCTCGCCATACCTCAGAGCCAACATTTCCACTCGAAACTTTCTCTAGGTAGACTTGACAGATGACACCCACGACTTCTACTCACGATGGTGTTCGACCACGTCCCAACTATCTTCTTTCACGCATTCATTGTCCGGTCGACAACCACTCTTTTTTCTTTTATTTACTTTTTTTTATTTCCTATAGCGTCCTATGGTGTTCTCCTTGCTTCTTTACTTTTACTACTCTTCCGTTGCTGCTTTGTACTATTTTTCGGTCACCAAGCTCCGTTGAGTGTCTTCTCGTTATTGTTAGGGTTAAAGCTTCCAATAGAGGATTTCCTTGGGTAGGTCTTAACATACCTCATTCACGTCATTTGTCTCAACCGATACTTGTACATAGCCTTAATCTCTTAGTCATGGCTCTTAGTGGCTTAACTAAATATCACTAATTTATCCTTAACTGGCCTTCTTTTATGGATGACATCCTACTATGTCGTACTCCCTCAGAGTGGGGCACCTTGGGTAAGGTAACTTAATGATTTCCTCCTTCTTGGCAATGATTTTCTTCATCGTACCTCTTTATGCCTCTTCTTGACCTCGAGTCACCTGAGACTTGACCCATTGACTTCATGAAATCTCGTCAAAATCCCTCTGGCCTTTTTGCTCTTCCTTGGTATTGCTCGCAAACTCTCTTCTTTACGTCCGTTTAGACTCTTCCTCGAATTCTCCAACTTTCATTAGAACTTCTAATGAATGCTGTACTTGCTTGCCTATACCCGCTGATTGAATGATTTACTCCTACGACTGGTCCGAGACTCCTGCTCTTGGCCCTCTAGTTCCCACTTTAGACTTTCCCAGTGGATTCCTTGAAATTCCACGATTTTTCTGATTCTCCTTGATCATGGTAATTTGCAGGGTCTCTCAACCCCTTCTCATACCTTGTCCTCTAGCTTGCGCTTGACAGGTGTATAGCATGCCTGATCTAACCTCAACCTCTACATCATTTATCTCGTTGCTTGCCTTGTTCCTTCTAATGGCCTGTCATCGGCCTAACCCCCAGGGTCGTGTACCCTCTCCTCTAGTGACGTAGTTTATCTATAAGGGTTCCTTTATCGTTATATGCAAACGACTATAACTCCTCTCCGCCTTGACCTTTTGACTTCTTGACGTCCTTTCAGACCCCCTATAACCTACTTACTTCCTCCTTTACTCCATTTACACTACCCTAGCTTTTCTTGAAGTCTAAGCTTTTCTCTGCTCCTTGTCACTATGTTGTAACAGCGTTGAGCCATCGAACACAAAAACTAGCTGAGGGGCTTCTCGGGGTACCTCTTCGTTTCTTGACCCGTTTATCACTTTCCACTGCTTAGGACCAAAGACCCTAACATCATCTTATTATCATAGCTACTGGCGTCTGGTGATTGTTCCTCTTCCTTTGGAGATTCATATTTCTCCCCTCTGTTTGTCTTAGCTTATTAGATCATCCACTTGTTTCCTAGTAGTAAATCCTCGTACTACTCTCTCAACTCCTTCAAAATCCTTGAGGTATTCCCTTTCAATTGGTACCTCTTTGCTGGTGCATGGAGTTGAAGTCCTCGCACATTTGATCCTACCTCCATAGACCTGTGCAACGTTCCTCCTTCCTTTTCCTTGTATCTTGAGATTCTGAAAGAGTTGGCCACATTTCTTTCTTCTTTCCTTTCACACTGATGATCGTCGTACGCCTCAGTCTTTTATTTGACGTCCCACGACGTGATAACTTAACTCGCGTCCTAGCTTATTCTTAAACCAATTGCACCATTGTGCTACCTTCTCGTAGTGTCGTGTTGTAATAGTTATTCACCTTATTATGATTAGAGTAGACTGGAGATCCTATAAACTCTTAAAAGAAGATCCTTGACTCGTTTTCCCTTTTCTTTAAAACAAAAGCCTTTAAAACTGAGACCGATATTCCAGTATTCCTTGGAGACCAAGGAACAAAGGAAGACCGGGCTCTGATACCAAAATGAAACACCCTAACCCGACCGGGTACTACTTTTACTAAAATGCCCTTGATAACTAAAATACTCAAATCTTAAATTGCAACTGGGAAAAATTTTAATAAATAAAATACTGAAAACACATACTTGTAGCTCAGAGCAAAGCCCTAACACGTGGGCAAATTAAACTCAAACTTTAAAATCTCAAACTGATCTCAAAATAGTCTCCAGTCTGTACACATAATCATAAATGTATATAACTAATAATCTCTGAAGTTGTTGCTACTGAAATCTTTGACTAAGCATCCTCCGTGACACTTATTCTGCTCTCCTCTAGCTGGCTGCCCTCGAACTCGCTGCTCACTAACTACTCCTCTAGCTTCTCAAACTGGTGAGTGAGATGGGGTCAGTCTACGCCCTTACGTTTAATCTCTTATTAAAACTTGAGCACTTTACTTAACTGTGTGGAAGTTGTTTTGTACTTCCACTATCGAGAAGCTTAACTCTTAAAACTGTATGGGAGTTACTGTTACTCCATTCTTAAATCTCAAAGCTTGACTTAAATACTTGACTGACACTGGGATCCCTCACTAGCTAGTCCGGTTGCCAACTCATACGTATGAGAAGCCATCAAGGCTTTCCTTAAACTTAAACTTAGTTAGGGAAGTCGTAACGATTCATCCCCCTAACATCTTAAACTTATCGTTGTGGCTCTTCACCACGATTCTCAAGGGCATAACTGCTGCCCATCTTAAAAGTCTCAAGAGCATAACTGCTGCTCTATCTGGAAATCTCAAATGGCAACGGACTGGCGCTAGTTACTAAAAACACTTAAAACGACTTCACCTTCTTGAAGGTGAGTTACTTCTTAAAAAGGACTTGCTTCTTAACTTCAACAATAACTTATAAACTCAAAGCTTAAATTTAAATAAAACTCATGCACAGTCACATCAAACATGGCTCAAACAAAATCACATATCATCAACCATAAGCACAATCAAGCAATAACAATCACTTCAACAAATATTTAAGGCTCGTCAAACTTAAAAGAGTACGTAAGGCGTAGAATTTACCCCATTTACACTCACCTTACTTCCGTCGGAACTAGCTTGATTATGTGCTTTTGCCCTAATTTGCCGACACCACATGCTTGGTTAGGTGCCGCCTCCTGCCTGCTTAATAATGACTTTCTCCTGCCTGCTTATTCACCAAGCTGAATCGCCAACTTGCTTGCATACTGGTCCTGCTTGCTTAAGCAGGTAGCTGACGTCAGCTCCTTGAAATACTGCTTAGGCCTCCTACGGCCTGCCATCACCCCCCAACCTCGTCTGCTCATTGTCCTGCTTGCCTGCCTTGCTTATGGTAGCACCTCTCGCAGTAGAGAGCATGAAACCAGCGGGTCACATACGCCACAATCTCCTGCTCTCTTGATAAGCAGGTCGGTCCATTACCTCACAAGCAGCCTGGTCTGCTCCGTTAAATCGCAAGCAGCCTGGTCAAGCTAGCTGCTCTCGTAGTGGAGGCAGCCTCGTGGTAGAGGCGGATAACGCCGCTTGCCTGCCGCTGGAGAAGCAGCCTGGTCAAGCTAGTCTCGTAGTACAGGGCGATTGGTGGCGTGCCACTCGGACAATACCGGCTGCCTGTTTGGTTTCACCAAAACCAGCCACATCGGACGAGCAGCTCTCAATGGCGCCGCTTTGCTTTCTCCCGGAGAATTGCCCTCCAACTTGCTTAATCACACCCCTCTCATAGTAGGGAGAGATGTGCCGCTTTAGCATCCCAGGTCCGGAGAACTGTTTGTTGGAGAGGAAAAAAAGGCTGCTTAGGATTTTAGGTTTTAATTAGCTTGAGTGTTGCCGAGTGGGTCATGGGATTAGGGTTGGGTTTTATCTGACTCGGGGGAATTTCACAAATTACGGGTGAGTTTAATCCGTAACTCAACTAACGTCCGTAACTTATTCGATTTATATCGAAACTCGACACCGTTCGAACCAATAGTTCACGTTTTTAATCCTCCTCGATATTACGATGAAACTTGATGAATTTAACCAAGGGTAAAATAGTCATTTTGACCCTTAGAAAGATCGGGGTGTAACAGCAGCGGTTGATGCACGCCTCTAGAGAGTCGATTGATTTGTGGAGTCGTCGACAGGAGTATATAGCGACTATGCCATATACTCAGGAGACTCTAGCCTACCACTCGAGCATCTCGAGTGGTATCGAGATGTTACTAGACGTGCAGTCACACGGAGAGCAGCAGGAGTTAACGCAGCGGTTAGTTATTTATTATTTCAAAATAAAATTTTAGTTGATTGAAATTCATAGTTGCGTGGAATATTTGATATATTAAATAAATTCATAGTGCGTAGTGTTTAACTGCCACCTGTGCAGCTTGTTTCGAGTGAAATATCTGACCCTTGTAGAATTCCCCTTCAAAACTAGTAACAATAGGCATTGGAATTACCCCATATGAATCAACATATGATAATTCATCATCCTCTTCAGCCTGCAAGTAAAAATATGGTGGAAAGTTAGGTTGCTCTTCTTCCCCATCTTCCTCCTCCTCCTCCTCGTCGGCATAATCATGGTCAAATGGCACACTCCATGTATCATCTTCACCCTGATTAGGCTGGCTAATCTCAGCATGTACCTCAGCACCCAAACAATAAGGATTTTGTGTCATAAAATTGAAAAGCACATTCAAACCATCATCATCCACAATAGGCATCACATAATGAAATAGAACACCATTCTGCCATTCTGGAAGACGGTAAGTGACACCTGTGATCATATCATTATCTTGTACTACTTCGTCTTTACGCCATATTCTCGGAATTAGATTCTCAAAAATTGATGATATGTCACCCGACATGGAACTGTCAATTGAAACCTTCTACCACCAACGAAATGAACGCCGAAATTGTCCTCTACTTTCTCCGATTTCCACCAAACAATTAGTTTAAATTTCCTAAAATCACTACATAACAAACAAATTCACTAATTACTAACTGAAGAAAATTATAATAGCATTTTAATAATATAATTACAAAAATAAATGTGTCTCTTACCTATCCATTTTTGCAGCAACCAGCAGAGCTCCTTCCTCTCGTTTTCGTATAAGTTTTTGGTGTGGTGATACTGAAAGGAGGAGAATGGAGGGAAGATATATATGTTGGAGTGGGGTAAAACAGAGCTCGAATCCGCATTAGTCTCATGCGGGTCCGCTGGTCAAAGTTTAGTGAATCTGTCAGCAGACTTTAAAAAGAGACCCGCGTCTCCGCACCAGTCCCACTAGGGGTGGGCATTCGGTCGGTTCGGTCAAAACCGAACCGAAATTATGAATACCGGGTCCCCGAATTCTCTCAAACCTCAAACAGAATTCGAACCGAATTATAATTCAGTTCGGTCGGTTTAAACCGAATTATAATTCGGTTCGGTTTTTACACAAAACTGAATTTGTGAAGCTACTTGTATTTTCTCACTTTTAAATTATTTTTCACCCCTAATATAAACAATAAATATCAATTATATGCATCATCAATGATAAAAGCAAACTTTTCAACACATAAGTCTTAAAACATTTCAAATATTTAAGTCTAAAAACAACTACAAACATAAAAATCCATCATTTGGAGCTTGCATTGTAGTATTTCGGTTTTTCGATCGGAAATTCGGTACGGTGGGAAGAGCCCTGATTTCCGAACTATCCATATTTTCCTTTCGAATTCCGAACTGAATAGCATTAATTCGGTTTCGGTTCGGTTTAAATCGATTTCGGTTCGATTCGGGTTTATCGAACCGTTTGTCCACCCCTAAGTCCCACGCGGGCCGCACCAGTCCCACGCGGGCCCTCTCATTTTACGTCAATATACATATGCAACGGTTTTGCGTCAGTCTGATGCGAATTCACTCTTTTTCCTCACAAAAATACAATATATGTGTAAATATATTTAAAACCATCATATTGGTGGTAAATATAAAAAAAAAATATTTTGGAAATTTTCTTTTTTTATGAATGGTTAGCTTTATATTAATCATCAAAAAAACAATATTCTGGAAACTTTTTTTATGAATGGTTAGCTTTATATTAATCATCAAAAAACCAGTTACTATGTGGGAACACCCCCTGCCACTGAGGAAAAAATGCAACAAATCAAAGAAACTCTATAACATCTCTATAGCGAGCCAAGACTTAAGAGCAGCAAACAAAAACCAGAGGCACTTAAAAGAAAGCTACCACTTCCACTTCTTCACACACCACCCTTACTTCATCCTTAATCAATTTTTCAGCTTCATTGAGACTTAAACCTTTCCCTCCAAACCTGACAGAACAACGAACCCTCCAGATATTACTAATCATAGATTGCCAAATCATTCTTCCAGCGCTTGATTGAGGAGCAGCTTTTGAGAAAGAGTCAACAGCCCAAGCAAGTTCTGTAGACCACAAGTTTGAAGAGACTCTGTTGCAAAATCCGGAAAACAGTATTTTGAATAGCTCCTTGTACCTGTAGCACTCTGCAAACAAATGGTCTTGAGTCTCAATCCTGCAATCACAATAAACACATGCAGTGACCCCATGGAAGCCCCATCCAATCATTTTATCACTGGTGGTGATGAACTGGTTAATTATCAGCCATCTAATAAACTGGTTTCGTGGTATAATAGGGGATTTCCAGATCAGTTTAAACCAAGACACCACAGAACTGTGAGGTCTGAGGTCTTCCCAGATGAGTTTAGTAGAGAATTTCTTCAGAAGCTTCCCCATCCAATACCCTTCTCCATCAATAACAGAAAGCTTATGTCTGATTAAGTCTCTTGTTTTGAGTACCTTCAGCCAAATCCAGGACCCTGTTTTACAAGTTGAGGCCCAAATATCAACCCCATAGAGTCTATACTCTCATATCCAGGCAACCCATAGGGAGCCTTGCTTAGTTAGCATATCCCAGATGTGCCTCACTATACAAGCCAAATTCCAGCTTTTCAAATCCCTTAACCCAATTCCACCCTCTAGGGATGGCAATCAGCCCGCGGGCTTTGGACATCCACTGGGGCCCGACCGAATGTAACGGCCCAAAACCCGCGAGGCCGGGTAAGATCCCGGTTACGGGCGGGCCCGAGACCCGCGGATAACGGTGACGGGCTGGGGACGGATGTTGTGATCCCCGCACCGTACCCGGCCCGATATCAATACGACACCGTAACTACAGCATATATAAACTTGGATTTTTAGGGTTAGGCCATGGAGTCTTCATTTTCACCAACGCAGCCGCCTGTGAGTCCCGATTTCCTCTCAACCTAAACCCTAGAATCGAAAATTTCTGGCCAAATCCCTACGATTCCGACGAATTCTCCTCCTTTCTCTACTAATTTCCCACCAAAATCTACGATCTAATCACCAATAATCCTTCATCTTACCCTTAATCAAGCCCCAGCCATCGAAAATGTCTCAATCGAAGGAACAGAAGTCTCGAATCGTGCATGCAGACGATTTCTTTCCTAGATCGAGAATTCGAGATAAGTATTGAGTATTCGATTCATTCTTTCTTTCTTTCCTTAATCGATTAATGCTTATAAGTGTATAAATATGAGGCTTACTTGTTCGTGTTGTTCACCTGCAGTTCTTCGACCCCTAAACCCAGAAACCCTAGCCTTCCAGAATTCGAATTCCCAGTACCTGTTTGTCATTCTCGGTAAGTTTAGTTTACACTTTACAGTAGTTTGTTTGATTAATGCTTATAAGGGTATAATATGTGGCTTACCTGTTCATTTTGTTCATCTGCGGTAAGCACCCTAAACCCAGAAACCCCAGCCTTCCAGAATTCAGAATCCCACTACCTGTTTGTCATTCTCGGTAAGCTTAGTTACAGTAGTTCGTTCGATTACTTTTTCCAAATACCCTAGCTTTCCAGATTAATTGAGTTTGATTATTATTTCCTGCTCTTTTGTTTTTGCAGCTTGCTGTTCAGGAGTCCCATAAAGCAGGTCGTGCTTAAACTACAGTCTGCTGAAGTAAGTCGTCTCCCTTGATTGTTGTTGGTAGTGAATGATTTGGTTTGTGCTATTCTTAAGTAGAAAACAGATCTGGTAGTGAATGAATTGGTTTATGTCATTCTTATGTCGAAAACAGCTAATCTGGTAGTGACTTAATAATACTGAACACATCTTATCTTTGAAGTTCGAATAATTTCAGTCAATTGATTCAGTTTAATAATACTTAAGTACTAAACTCATATAGTTTCAGTACATTGATTCTGTTTATGCTATGCTTAAGTACTCAAGTCTAAACACATGTAATCTGTGAAGTACTTAACTTCGAATCAACTTAATTGATTCAGTTTATGATATGCTTAAGTACTGTTCACTTAAGTACTAAACACATTGATTCTGTTTATGTTATGCTTAAGTACTGTTCACTAAACACATTGGTTCAATGTAATAAACACATTGGTTCAATGTACTAAACACATTGATTCGGTTTATGTTATGCTTAAGTACTGTTCACTTAAGTTCGAGATAGCTAAGTTGGAATCTTTTAAACAACTAATCTCTAGTCTATAAACATTTTTATATAATAAGAATACAACTAGACATAATTCTAAGACGTTTTACTTATGTCTTCCTCTTAATCAGATGGAACCCGAACAGTTTGAGAATGGTAATGCTGCTGCCCCAGCCCCTGGTAATCCTAATAACCCTCCTGAACCTCTAGATGTTGTTCCTCAACTTCCCTTAGGTGCTAGTAGATCATTAAAGTCTGATGTGTGGCCTCACTTTACTCGGGTACTGGTGTCTGGAATTTTGAAAGCTAAATGCAACTACTGTAAGAAGGTGTTGGCTGGAAAATCTACTAATGGTACCTCCCATCTTAGAACTCATAGGAATAAATGTGTTCATAAAAAAATACATGATGGGAGTCAAAAAATTCTTGGTGCTAACTACAATGTTAGTGGAACGGCTGACATGACTACCAATCAATTCAGCAGTGAGATTTCCAGAAAGGAGCTCTGCACCATGATCTTGGTGCATGAGTATCCACTTTCTATAGTTGAACACTTATATTTCAAAAGGTTTTGCTGCACATTGAACCCTCTCTTCAAAGTCCCAACCCGAAATACCATAAAGAAAGACATAGTGACCATTTATGGTTTAGAGAAGTCTAAAATTCAGAAGGTCATGGACCAAAATAGAGGGAGGATAGCTATCACCACTGACTTGTGGACTGCCACAAACCAAAAAAGGGCTTACATGGCTGTCACTGCCCATTACATAGACAACTTTTGGAAGCTTAGGAACCATCTTATATTTTTTGGTTACCTCCCTGCCCCACACACTAGTGAGAGGTTGGCTGCAAAGCTTGCTAAATGCCTCCAAGATTGGAACATTGATAGTACGTTGTCAACAATCACTCTTGACAATTGTACTACCAATGATTCCATGATCAATCTAGTGAAACAAAGGCTGGTCCTATCTAATATGATTAGGGATGGGACACTTCTTCATATGAGGTGTTCTGCTCACATCCTTAATCTAATTGTGAGGGATGGCCTTGATGTTCTCAAAGATGGAATTGAAAACATCAGGGAGAGTGTGGTATTTTGGACATGTACTCCGAGGCGAGTTGAAATTTTCCATGGAACTGCCCAACAGCTTAAACTGGCTGTTTCCAAGAAATTGGTGCTGGATTGTCCTACACGTTGGAATTCTATCTTTGCTATGCTTACTGCTGCTATTCCATATAAGGACGTGTTTGCTATTCTGAAAATAAGGGAACCTCAATACAACTCTCTGCCTACCCACGAGCAGTGGGAATTTGCTCATATTTTGTGTGAGAAACTTGAGGTTTTCAAGGACATTACTGCAATATTTTCTGGTTCAAACTACCCTACAGCCAATCATTTTTTCCCTAAAGTATGCGACTTGAGGTTGCGTTTGATGGAGTGGTTAGTTGATCCTAATCCTATGATCGTTTCTATGGCTGAGAAAATGTGGGCTAAGTTTGCAAAATACTGGGATGATATTCATCTGCTGCTTGCTGTTGCTGTTGTGATGGATCCGAGGTACAAATTGGACTTGGTTGGTTATTATGCAACCAAATTTGGTATTGCTAATACTGACCTTGTGATTGAAAGGGTAAAAGATGTTCTTGCTGAGTTGGTTGTTGAGTATCAGAGGAAATCCTCAAAAAACAGTGTTGTTTCTTCTACTTCCCAAACTTCTTCTTCGGCCACAGATCTTGATTTTGATTTATATGTGAGCCAAAGAAAGAAAACGAGAACCTCTGTTGTAACCACTGAGTTAGATCACTATCTAGCTGAGGATCCTCATCCTAGAACACCAGATTTCGATGTGTTGGGTTGGTGGAAATTTAACGGGGCCAAGTATCCCATTTTGCAAGACATTGCAAGGGATTTACTTGATGTCCCTGTCACGAGTGTTGCCTCTGAATCAGCCTTCAGTTCTGGTGGGAGGCTTCTTGATCCCCATCGGAGCAGACTGGATCCTGCAACAGTAGAAGCAATGATGATATTAAGAACTTGGATTCGGGACGATAGCAAAGGTATATCGATTCTAATTGGTAATTTCATTGCTATGATTTCTGTTTGTTGCTAAGTAAAGCTTATTTATAACTTTTTGCTTTGCCTTGTAGTGTCCGCCTCTGAATTGAAAGCTCTGGAGGGGGTTTTCTCCGCAATGGCAATGGATGATGCCACTGTAGAAGACAACACAGGTAAGTAGATTCATTTCCTTGCTGCGCCTGGTTAAGTTAAAGTTACTGTAATTTAAGACTGAAACTGAATAAACTGTTTGTTTTGTAACAGATGGAGATGGAGTGCAGTCAGAGATTAATGGGGAGGAAGATGATGCAGCTGCTGTCATCAACTTGCTGGACTAATTCTAGGTTTGTATTTTAATCTATTAAGTTTTTCTGTTCTAAGTATTGCAACAAAATCAAGTGATGAATGACTGAGTTGAATCTGCCATATTGCAGATCTTGTCCAGGAACCTAAAAGTTGGTCAATTACTCTTGATTGATGATTGTTGGACTGATTATGGGTTGCTGGATGTTATGGAGAAGTGAAGAATGAATGATTTTGCCTGCTGTTTCCTTTGTGGCATGTTTCTGAGTTTGTTTTTGTGTTCGAACTACCACTGTTTTGAGTGTTTTCATTGTGGCCATGTTTCTGAGTTTGTTAGATGAGATTGCAGATTTCTATTAGTTAGCAGTTAATGTTTCTGCTAGTTGACAGTTCATGTTTCTGGGATTGTTTGCTGGGATTGCAGATTTCTGCTAGTGGACAGGTCATATTTCTGGGTTTTTGCCCATTTTGAAAGTTACATTAATGGATGTTAGACAACTACTGGGTTTGCAGTTCATGGATACTGCTTGAATGTTATTAATATTTAGTTTTCAATTCATTTTTTAGTTCATTGAATGGGTTGTGTTTGATCTTTGCGGGTAAGCCATGACCCGCGGGCTACCCGGAACCCGCTTGGGTTTGGGCTTGGTATCTAAACTGTGCCCATTAAGCTTAGTGGGTCGGTGATGGGTAAAACCCGTGGGCATATATTGTGGGCAACGGATATGGGGTATCCGCACCGTATCCGACCCATTGCCATCCCTACCACCCTCTACCGTGATGATATATTTTTAATAGGTGATGAGTTATCTTATCATTTCCCCATTATGGAAACTTAAGTAATTATCCATTTGTTACACCGGTAAACATAAATGGGACAAAAAAGTTCAGAATGAAAATTAATTAGTGGGCCCGAAAAGCTGAGGTGACTGGACATATTGATTGAGTAGGATAACGAGTAGGGGGTGATGGCGTGGCCTGATACGTCACGTGGGCTGGCACGCAGCACGGCGTAGCCATTGGTTGACGTGACTGTCCCTGCGTATCTGTCAGTCTACTATTCGCCGCCTGCCCACGTCAAATTGTACGATGATGTTGATAAACAGATAAAGCATTTGCATTTTCTCCTTTTTCATTTTTTACATAAACAAATTCCACCCCACGCATTTCTATATCATACACTTTATTTTATATTATTATGCGCTGTATTATTACTTTTATTTGTTTGACCCTTTTCCGACGTGTAATATTAGTGACCCATTTTAGTAAGAACAACGAATGCCACTATCATCATCTATTGAACATCTCATGTTAGTCATTAACCCACCAATCGCCTAAGTGACACATGACTGTTTGAGGGTTGCTGTTGGAACCTGGTGATTATGTGAACCGAATGTAGCATAGTTCGTCTATCAGTTGTCGGGCTTATGATGTATAAAATTTATAAACTATAAATTTTCGAATCAACGACTATTTTCGCATGAGGTTGGTGTCGAGGCTATAATGTTACTTTACAATTATTATTTCTATTGTCAAGTATACATGAATAACGTACGGCACGCCGATACAGTTTAGAAAATCTAATGAAGTGAATGTAGTGAAGATCAAATAAAACAAGTGTAGTCAGCAAGCAATAGGTGTGATGGTCTAATAGATGGTTGTAACTAGTGCAAACAATAATCCGTATGAATTTCAAAGTAATAATCAGACAACTCGTAGATAGGAAGAAAAATTAATGCAAAAATATGTCGGTAGAAGTCGAAATTAACATCTTCTCATATCTCAATGATGTTACAACACTATGGTAAAGCACCGACGTTGCGGGTTGAAGTGACAACATTATTTTATTATATATATGAGCATAAGTTTTGTTAAAATGATGACAGCTAAATATGTGAGAACGTATTCACTAGGACGCGCTACTACCTTCGAATATAGTTAGTAAAATACAGTACGATAAAGTTACGTATAAATACGTACAGGTATTGTACTTCGTCTCTAACTCGAGCAATGTTACGTTTAATAGTACGTTAATAGTCATAAATATATAAATTAATTATTTTTAAAAATAAATAAATATGTAAAAAATAGTAAAGTTACTAATTTAATTCATTAAATGCGGATATTAAACGTGTTATACTGGTTTTATACGTGTTTAGTACGGGGCCGTCAAATGAACGAAAACAAATGAAACGGTTTGACAATAATACAGATACGAAGGTTTTAAACGATAAAATATGTACGGGTACATATACGTGTATTAAACGGAGTATTTACTAACTATGCCTTCGAGCAATCCGACAACTAGATGCCTCATAAGCATGTCGTCAAAGAATGCCTTGTAAGCATCATCGCCGGTTGATATAAACATCAGCCCTCATGGTAATATATTGAGTCTAGCTTGGTAATTGGTTATGTAAGGATTAATTAAGAAATGGTCAATACCATAGTGTTGGGTGAAGCTACTAATGTTAAATGTCTCTCAATAACCGCTCCCCCTTTTTGTCTGTTATTTGTTTATTAATCAATTAAGAACTAGAGAGGGAGGGAGAGAGAGAGAGAAAAATGATTCTTAACTTTGCCAAAATTGAACAAGAAATCAGTGACTAGGTTCCCACGACAACCGTCTAATTGCTTTTTATTTTCCCTTTCTTTTTCAGAAAATTAAAAAAAGTAGTGTTTATTAATTATTATTATTTCCTGGGTGGCTGCTGTCTTCCGTTGTTGTTCTAACCTTGGCTTTTTCTTTTGAACATTTTATTTCCTAAAATGCAAATATTCCCTTCGTCTGGTCTGCGTTGAAAGGTAGTAGAGGAGGAGAAAAGAAAGAGAGAGAAGTAGATAGATGAAGAATACGTAGTACAATGGGGCAAAACGAAAGGGGAAACTAACTCGTAAACAAACAAACAAAGAAAGACCGACCCTCCCTTCGATTTCCATTTCCGTTTCCATCGATCCCAAGCAAAAAGTCTATCTCCTCCATTTCAATTCCTTCCTTGTAGCCGCAGATCAAACAAGATCCCTCCAAATTCCTTCCTTCTCAATCTCTCTTTAGGGTTTCCCGATTCGGTTCTCTACAATCAGTTTCATTCCGGCAAAGACATTAATATTATAGATCTCAAATCAAACCAGCCACATGCGGAAGCCTCCAATGGTTTCTGCCCTCTGACGGCAGCCGCCAGTCGCCGGTTTGGTCGGCTCTCTTCCTTTCTTACTCTGCGAGGTGAGATGCGTGGAGGGTTGTTTGTTGTTCATATTCATCTGATTCTTAGGGTTCTTTCCTTCTTGGTTGACTTGGAAGTTTTGTAATCAGCTGGTCAAAGATGGTGAGGGGGAAAGTGGAGCTGAGGAAGATCGAGAACGCGGCGAGCAGGCAGGTGACCTTCTCCAAGCGGAGGAATGGGCTGTTGAAGAAAGCCAACGAGCTGTCCGTACTGTGCGACGCCGAGGTTGCGGTCATCGTCTTCTCCCAGCGAGGAAGGCTCACCCAGTTCTCTAACCTCGAGTAAGAAAGAACCAACTTATCGGCTACTAAATGCTTGCTTAATTAATTAGCATTGCTAATCAATCTGCTTTTGCCTAGCTTGATTGAAGCGTACGTTGAGAAAATCATCAAATGAGTTCAGACATTAAATGACCAGTAGTACCCTCCTCCAGCTACGAAGCTTTTTTTTTTTAAATTTCGCTTTTCAAAATCTCTCTTCTGGGTTTCCTTGTTACTTACCCCGATCGAGGAGTTTTGCCTGCAGTCAGTTTTGCTTATTTTCTACTAAACAAAATACACCCTCTCCCAAGTTTCCGTACTGTTTTCTTTCTTTAATTTTTAGCAAGTCTGTGTTGTAAAACCAAATTAGAGGGTGTATGGTAAAAGTAAGCGAATAAATATTTTATGCTGAATTCTTGGTTTAGTGGTGATTCAATCATTTCATACTGTGAAAATCAAAACTCTAATAAGAGGGTTTTCCGATCGGACCACATATACGCTACGGTTTCACATTTTTTACAAGGAATAATAATTTTCGTAATGTTTTCTTAACCGGAGATGAGGCTTTGGGTGGACCCTCTTGGCTAGCTAAATCACCATTAATCCATATATGGGTGGCTACATTGAGTCCTTGATCATTCTAGTTAGCAGTACTATTACTGCTGCTGCTTGGTCATGATCATGAACTCATTCCTTTTATCCACCATGCTTCTTAGTGCAAGGTTGATTAATTACTTGATTCACTTCGACTAACTGCACCTCATCTTGATGAGTTGATGAGTATACATTTAAGGTGAAGGTGTCTATGAATCTATCTACAAAAAAGGTTTGTGGTTTATTTTCTATTGTTAGTGGTGATAAATTATTTCAATGTTGCCATTGATGGATTTTGGTCCTTGTTTTTTAATAAATATTGTTTGTTCAATCGTATAACAATTCAGTCTGATTTTGAATTGATCCGCACCGTAACCATATACATCGTGATTATAAGGACACTGTTAATATTGGGGTACTATGAAGGGAGAGCTAATTAGTTTCTTTTAGTCATTGTTATAACATAGTGAATAATGCATATATCGAAACAAATTACAAAGACATTTATCATGTTGATGATTATTTTACATTAACACATTCTGTTTTTTATTTATCAACTAAATATCTAATTCGATATCGTGCGTTCTGCATGAAGATATTTCAACCATGCATATATATCTTAGAAAATAAGAGTTATATATAACACAATTCACCTTTCATGACATAAGAAGTTATATGTGTATATGATTTATGATACATACAAATTATTATGTCAAGTTGAATTGTGATATATGGTTTGATCTATAAAACTGATAAGGTTTGATCATTTTACATGCTGATGTCATTCCTGAAATGATGTAGTAATTAATGCAATATTTACTGCAAATAACAGTGTTTAAACCTCCAATGCTGTTGGTTTGTTAGCAAGGCTGTATAATCAAGACAAGTGGAGGCAAAGATTTGACAAATTCCATAAAAGACATGCTATCAAAATACATATCATATTTGTGTGTGCAAAATCAAACAATGTATTTGTAATCCAACTATACGATGAGAGCATAGCAATTTTGTGCTGATGTGTTCGAATTCTGATGGCTTGATTTTCGAAGAATTGTATTTTTGTCGTCGTTTTAAATTTGCTTGTTGTTGTGATTCTTATCGTCTCTTTGACAAATATTATTATGTGAAGACCTTCAAAAAGAAAATAGAAATCGAATTAAGGGGATTAACTCGATAAAGTGTGTAAACCCCAAACTTTAAGTTGTGATCTTCATTGTGAACCATTCAATGATTTGTGGTAAAGAGTTTTGCTGTATGCATAGTCTGACTTTCATGTTAAATGCTCATGATGAGTTGAATCGTTTATGGTAACCTGGGTTTATGATTAATGCATATACATGTCTTTAACTAAAGTAGAAAGTGGAGTGATAAAGTTGTATATCCTTGCAACAAACAAAGTGATCTAATAATTTTCTGGTACAGAAAGAGACCAAATGCCATGGCTAGATGTTGCACTAATTCGGTATGGTTTGATTGGTTTCCACATTTGATTTCAGTATTTGACATTCAGGGAATTGAATTTCCATAGAGATCTCAGTAGTTTGCTATGGTTTTATTACACAAATGATATTATTAATGTCACTAGATACAAAGGCACAGAATCATGAATTATAGTAGACAGAAACATACTCCATTGTTTGCTCTCAAGAATCATACGTACCATTTTTCGGATTAACATTCTTATTTGTGAGAAGTCGTTCTAAATGAATGAGATAGCTTAAAACGTTGCAAAGTAGTGTGATGAGTTAAGTCATGACTGGTCATCCATAGACAGACAATCAATTGTCTTCTAAGGATTTTTGTTTTACCTTGATTGCTTACACAGTAAAGTGGTAGACCCTATTATTCCGATACATGGAAACTCACCTTTTTAAGTTTGTATTGATTTTAATTTTGTAACTTGTCTTCACTCTACAATACATAAAATCCCACTCACTAATCCGCCTTGGATTAAGGATACACACATGTATGGAATGGATATACTAGTTGATTACAAGTATGAGTGAAGATATCAAGAGCTGGCTAGCATGGCTTATCTGTTGTTTGTCTTCTGGGAATTTGGCTTTGCAGAATGCCGAAGACGATAGCTCGGTACCAAAAGTATGCAGCAGTTGAAGTCGATAAGACTGATACAGATTACTGCATTCAGGTCAGTCATCCTCATAGATAAATGCTACACGTTATGTCTGAATGATGATTGATGACCCTGAAACCCTTACTACTTCCGAGTCTCCTGGTCCAGGCTAGTGTATGTACGCTTGTCATCCTGCTTCCCATTATCATATGTTCGTCGAGTTTTACTAGGCTATGTATTAACGGGAGTTTTGGGCATGATACTATACCCTAATCTCTAATTGGTGAACTCCAATTTCAAATTCTCTAACCCGAACCATAAGATTCATTCAATAAAAAAATATAATTGGCGGTTCTAATTTGAGTACATATTATAAACGCAGACGTAATGCGTACACTAACCTTTGCCCATATATATTTCACGATAAGAGTATGATATATGTTTGCTTCTTCTTCTTGTTCTATCCTTATTGTGTACTTGAATCCACATGCAGCAACTCAAGCAAGAATCCGCTTCTATGGCTAAGAAGATTGAGCAGCTTGAAGCCTCCAGAGGGTTCCTTCCGTCTCCCTAGCTTCCTAGCTACCCATGAAACTGATCAAAATACTTACGTGGGACTAAGTTTGCTTTCTAATGGCTGTGATGATGTAGAAAGCTCATGGGAGAGCAGTTGGGGTCGTGTTCCCTGGAAGAGATCCGAGGGTTGACCGAGCAGCTGGAAAGAGGCTTGTCAAACATCCGACTCAGAAAAGTATGCATGCATGCACCATTACTATTTACTACCCAATTGGGTTAAAGTTCCAGCAATATTCTTTGTCTCATGCTGTGATCATTGAATTGATCAGGATGAGATGTTCATGGAGCAGATGGAAAAACTCAAGTTACAGGCAAGAATTATATGGATCCTCAATTCCTCATTTTCACCCAATGATAGTTGAATATGCTGGTTTTAACTTTTAGGCACATCAAAAGAGCTCCATATATATTTAACCCTAGCTAGAAATTAGCTTATTGTGGTAATCTGAAATGAGAGTGTAGATATCAATCAAGTTCAACCTCAATTTTTGTTATATGAAAACTTGGTCTGCAGGAAAAGGAGCTGCTACAACAGAAGGCAACATTATGTGAAAAGGTCAGCTTGCACGTAGTTAATTAGAAGAAACTCGTATTGGAGTTGCCATTTTTAGGATATGCAATGTTAGTGTTCACCATTTTTGCGGTTTAAAATTTTCAGTGTCGGGAGATGCCACGGGAACCGGAAAGACGTGAGACAGATTACGAGGCGGCGACGGCGGGAAGCAGCGTGGGACTGAGCAATGAAAGTTCGACGGTGGAGACGACTTTGTCCATCGGATTGCCGACGGCAACATATTGTGCTTTGAAGTAGATTGTTTCGTCATCAGTTTAGTCACACTTTTCTTTCTCATCATTCATATACCGGAACCGCAATAGTTAACTGTATACTAAAGTTCTGAAATAGTGTAATAATGAGCTCTGAATGTAATGGCAGATTGGCCGCCGCTGCCGTCTGTATTAATGGTTCTGCGCTGTTTGTCTCGCCCCATCCAAGAGCTCCAATGTGTACACGCACTTATAGGGCCGACCAGGAATGACAAATGGGCTTTTCTATATCGTTTGCCATCTCTGGGCTACAGCTTGCATGTTCACGTGGGCTTACGTACGTTTGGTATTATGCTTTCGAACTAAACCCAAACAGAAATAATCGTACTCAATTCCCTGCCTCCAGGCCCAGTCCATCAGCCGTCCATGTTTTCTTTCCTTCCCAACGGAGATAAAACACCTCGTACGGAGTCCTAAATTGATAGGTGATTTTTAGCAGTATAAAATGGTTGCTTAACCACACAGGAATTGCATGGTGGTTGATCTCCTACGGTAATCCGTAACTATGGAATTGTAAGTTTGCTTCACGCAATCACTCGTAAACAGAGGTCAATCACTACTCCCGTTAGGAATGACAATGTGGCAGATTTGAGGTGGGTATCTCTATAATCATATCAGCACTGTGGCAGGTCATATTATTTCTCACAAGGGGTCAGTCGGGGCAAGTTGACTACTCACATGGTTTTAAGAGAAAACATTATAAATATTCATTTTTCATTAATAAACCAAGAAACAAAATAAATGTAATTAAGTTATTCGAAAAATTGAGGTTCTCACCTATTTACAATTTTTTTATAGCTAAAATTATGAGGTAATAAAAATAAAATTTTAAATTTTTTGAGCAAAACAAATTAAAAATGATATAAGTTTGTACAGATCATATCGAGAAGAATACTCATCATAACCATTCGTTCCAAAACATATGAAATAGATCAAGTCAAAATTGATCATAAATCTTTCGATAACCATCGGTAACTCAATACTTGGTTGATTACCGCTATTTACTTTTCAACTCTCTGTAATTGCCTATTTATTAACGATCTACCTATGAAAAAAAAAAAACAAACAGGTAGGGGCATTAAATGGGCCGCCCTTGTTTTGACGATGAAGCCAAGGAGGGAGGGCCCTATAACCCATTGTTCCAGCCTTACAGGTAAAGCTAGAACTAGAAAGAAGAAAGATGGTGATTACGAAGGAGAAGTTGCTTTGCTTAACCTTTTTCAGGCTTCTTGGAATGGGTTTTTTCTTCTTCTATTTGATTTTGATCTAGCTTTCACCGTAGTAGTAATGATTAAACAAACATAAATTGGCAACATGATTGTGATTCCTTCGTATCGTATCCCCTGATTTGTTTGCACGAATTGAGGGGAGGCCAAATTAAAGGAGGGCTGCTCTCTAGTCTCTACCCCTATATATTTCCATTGTCTCTAGCTTCCCGTGTCTTTGTGTTTCCCTCCCCACCCTTAAATATCTTTATTTGGAAAAAGAAGGTGCGGCAGGTTTAGGGTAGTTAGTAGAAGAAGAAACCCTATTAGCCCCAAAAGCCTTTGCAATAGGTGCTACGAAATCACTATGTAATCAATGGCTTAATGATGAACATCTCTCAAAACGAAATCAATCCCTTTTGGTAGATGAAGCCTAATCGGATCGGACATATACCCCCCTTAATTACAATTATGAATGGCGATGAGTGAACACTTTGACTATTTGGGTATTGGGTCAGACTCAAATATATTCTTAATGATTTGGGTTTATTGTGTGGAATTTGAATGAAGTCCAATTTGAATCAACTCGTTTGAGTTGGACCCATTTAGGTCTATATGATTGTACACTAAAAACAAACAATATCGAACATCTCACCAACTGTTTCCAACCCAATTTACACATTCAATGTTAGTATATGACTATTTTTTGCATTACTCTATGTTTTAGAACAAAAAAAATGACAAATATCGCATTAGATCGGGTATCCATTTTCTTTTGGGTACCCAATATAATGAGTATAACTTACACCCAAACTAAAAAATTTGATATGAGGCCATAATAAATCGAATTTGGACAATATCCAAATTTAGGGTTTTCTTTGTCATCCCGCAGCTGGACAAATATTAATTCAACCAATTGAAGAATACAAGAAGCCTGTAATCAGTGGCGTAATGATGAACATCCCTGAAACAAAAAAAACAAAAAACAAAAAAATCAACTTCTTTAGTAGATGAAGCCCAAACGGACACATACAGCCAATTAAACTAATACAAAAGAGGGATCAAAATATTTGAATAACTATTCTCGGCTATCAGTGTAGAAGTGGTGAGTGAGACGATTAGTATATATAAGAAACACACTATTGTTTGAATTAGCACAGACAGAACATTATTAATCAAATATTAGAGTAGTGATTATGGAGAGGAGATTGAGGACCACTTTGAATTTTGAAAAACAAAATCTAACACACCTCTTACTGGCTGGGACTCAGAGTGTGGTCTGTGGCAGTGAGTGTCGTGTTTTTTGAAACTAACGGATACATTTTTGTAATGGCTGGCAGGCAACAGTGTAAGCAAGCAAGCAAGTCAGGGAATAATAATAGTAATAATGGATTAATTATGGGCGGAAGGGAAGGAATCTGCCAAGTTTTGAGCAAAACTGGAATCTAGTCTGATGTAGGGATGATGTCATCCTTTCTTCTTCCCCAGATCCAGTATTTTTATATTACCACCATCCATCCATCAAACAATTGTCCTCTGCCTGGAATCACCATATAGTAATATGATAATTTTTACCATCAGTATTCACGCCTCTAATGATGATGCCATTTGGTGCTCACTCAGACACTCACCACAGTATATTCTCTATAGTATATACCTCTTTTGATAATTCAGTTGATCTCAATATGTTTTTTTTGTAATGTAAAGGTTCTGGATATTGGAGAACTTCCCGCTAGCCCTCTATCACAATTTCGTTTGGGCTCCATTTTCATTGTCGATTCAAAGACGCTTCGACCAGTGGTGCAGTAAGGATTTGGGTTTAGTGGGGTCTCAGTACAAAAAATTCCAAGACTTTGTATTTTTTTTTTTTTCTGACTGATATCAATGGAAAATAATAGTTAAGCTTACAATTCTACCCAGGACCCCCCTAAAAGACTCTAAAGACCCCAAAATCAAAAGATTCTAGCTCTACACGAGACAAAAGCAGTGCTTTACGCGCCACTCTATAGGCAGCACTGTTGGCGGATCTAGGTACCGCCCTAAACTCTATACAAACAAACAAAGAGCTAAGGATCTGAAGATACTCTCGTAACACCGGACCACCAATCGAGTCTTCTAAGATGCCTTGACGGTCTTCGTTGACGACCACTTCGGAATCACCTTCGACTATCACGTGGGTCAAGGATCTTGAGGCTACAAAGGAAATAGCATCCCTGAAAGCTAGAAGCTCTGCCAGATAAGGGTTGACTATTCCTTGATGCTGCAACCCGAACGCCAACATCACATGCCCGTCTGACCCACGGATAACAAGCCCAGACAAACACCCGGAGGCACAAACAGCTGCGTCGACGTTGATCTTCAAAAAGCCTTCTGGTGGAGGGACCCAAGTGGTGGCAGGAAGGTTTGGGAGTAGAGAGCTGCGGGGAGGAGGGGGGAGAAGAAGACTGGAGATTCGAGGACCTGGTTGTAGAACCGTCTGGCTAAATTCAAAGGTCACTTTATTTCTAGACTTCCAGATTCTCCAAAGTAAACGGACGCATTGGAGAATGTGGAATGGGGAGGTCTCGGAGACCATGACATGTCGCCACCATAGACTAAAGTTAACAGTCTGGGCGGTCTCAATAAAGTTGCTCAGTTGCATCTTCGTCTTGTAACCAAGTTCTACACCTCAGGCAGACCATGCTATAAAGGAGCCAGAGAATCCCACTAAAGTCCACAATCTGATGGATAGGGGGCATCTGAATAATAAATGTTCAATGCTTTCTCGATATCTCCAGCAGACAAGCCATCAGTTAAGACAGTTTACTCCACGAGTTTGAAGGGCCACTACTGTGGAAAGTATGACTTTGAGGCATTGCCATATGAAGAATCTGAGCACAATTAATATGATACCAATTAATTTCATAATTATCCATTGGTCCCAATTAATATGAAAAATGGATAAAGAAGGAAATGTAACTAAATCCCTTAATTAATCACCCAATTACTCCATGTTTCAAATCCCAGCAATAAAATAGACACTAGATTTTTTTACTACACTAGCCCAATAATTGATGGGCTAATTATTCTAAAAATAATGGGTTGATTAGTGACACTATCGAGTAAATTAGAGGGAAATCGACACCATTATTAAAGGGAGGGTGAGAGTTAACACCCGCACTAATCACAAGCTGGCACCCGGTGAGATACAAAGATCGAGCGTAATCATTTGAATAGCAATTAATTTCTTAATCTGGAGAACCGCAAAGTTAAGAGCCAATAACTACAAGGCGACTTTTTAGCTTCCATGAACCAAAATAAGCGCTCACCTCTTTAACTCGGAATTTACTTCCATTGATGGCTAGGATCATGGTCAAGAAAACCGCTTAATAAGTCAAGCAATTAATGCAAAATAATTTCGCGTGAGTGGCCATCGACGGGAACTTTGTCGGTGGGGCAACCACCATGTTTGGCCGCAGTCTCGTCAAATAACCGGACGTGGATACTGAAGTAGCCACCGGAGGAATAGACTAAACCCTTGTGCCAAAGATACTTTGAAAGCCAGAAATTAATTCTGGAAATCAAGAATTAATTCGTTTTATCCCATAATTTGAGATATAAGCCAACCATTAAAGGTTGTAAAGCGCCATAAAAAGATGGCTTTAGTGACTCATTAATCACTTAAAAAGGATCATTAAAGACCCAATAACATCAAATAATTTAATAACTGATGTATTAAAACCAAATAGTCGAAACGGACCAATGGACCATTATTTGGTACTTTATTTTTCGCCGGAGGAAAAATTAATTGCAGCGCTAGACCAACAGAGTCGCCGGAGACATGTGTTTCCAGTTGGCGGAGGAGCTTCTCAGTTGGCCGCCGCTTGATGAATCCCCATCGTTCTCCTTCTCAGCAATTAACCCCCAGTTTGACAACCTCAAGTTGATTGTTGGACAAATTAAGCAATTTCAGGCCATGAATCTTGCCAAAGGCCTCAGGCAAGTACTTCAGCTTCCTGGCGGAGCATGAGAGGAGAGGTCCTTCTTCACGGCTTGCTTCCCCCCGCCTTAAGACACTGCTTTAAGGCGTAAGGCCGGCTTTAAGGCAGTGTTGCGCCCGCCTACCTACCCATATGGAAAGAAGGAGCCCCTCCCCCGTCAGAGGCATGCCAGAAAATAGAGTATAAATACCTGGAGAGTAATCATTTATCAAATCATTAATTATTAGTTATGTATCTTACATTTTGTGTAACTCATAGTTGAAAAGTGACATTTCGATAACTAGCTAAATAAATAGTTCCCAAGCCACAAACATATTTTAAAGTATGACAAAGAATTTTTTCATATACATATTTAGTAGAATTAGATTTTTTAATCCATGATTATAAAATTGAGAATTTTCAATGTTATCTGACCGATATAGGCTAGTTTATTTGCGTGTTTCATAATACTATGGCAATAAAATTTTACACGAATGGGGTCCTTAATTCCAAAACTACCCAAATTAAACAAGAACATGCACATATGTAACCAAGGGCGGAGGGACAAGGTTAGAGGGTGGGTCCTAGGACCCATCCTGGCTCGGGAGATAAAATTATATATTAGGTATAATAGTTAATCGGATATAAAAAAAATAATATGTAATTAAATGAGAATGGTTGACCTTTGAAATATTTGATGTATGATAAATACGTTGTGTATTGACATACTCAATGTTTTATAACGAGCTACGTACAAATGACAATCGTGCATATGATTCATCCAAATTTAAATATGTACTTATTCAATATTTACAAAAAAATTCAATCAAATTATATCTAGTTTTTAAAAATAATTTTATTTTAATTAGGAATAGGGAGAGTATAACGGGTGGCTACAAAGGACGAAAGTGAATAAATTAGTATAATAGTTAATTAAGAATGAAATTTAGGGCACTTCCAATTAAGAATGGTTGACCGAAAGATCATGTGTTCCGAATCTTGGCGACCCAATTTGTTAAGCACATGATATTCGGATTTGCGAAACTTTTAAGCACGTATAAGTTGGTTTTGGTTAACAGGGAAGTGTTAGTAAATACTAAATACTATAAGATCTATTATTAAATCTAATCCAACAACTCGAGTTATTGATGCTAAACGGTCTTGACAAATAACACCATTCAAAAGCAAATGTCTAACTAGATCATAAATAATTGTTTGATACATATGAAGTGATATTCTAGATAGTTTCGACATATATTTAATTTACCATGTTTAGTAAATACAAAATTATATAATGAATAGTTTAAAAAGCTAACAAAACTATTTTAGCGTAAATATTTTTTTCTCCTAAATGGACCCACTTTCGACAAAATTCTGGCTACGCCCCTATTTGTAACTATTTTAATTTATCCTAGTAGGACCCCACTCCTCTCCACCTCCCTTCCACATCCGATAAGAATTCCGGCAGGCCAAATTTCATCTTCACATGACATACCCTCTCCAATGCCTCAAATTATCCACGAAATCTCCGGCAGATCTTCATCATGATGATGAGCAAAAATGGCAACCGATGTGCATCATGAAAATTCACCCATCCAAAAATTCTCGAAATTTGGCCTTGAACAGAAAATGGACTCATTACTCGCCAATGAAGTAACACAAGAAAGTTCATCGGACCCAACATAAATAAGGGGTTTCGATTGACATTTGTCCTCTCCAAAGACCAATATAACTACAGACATTATCAAGAACTTGGAGCAATCAATATCACTAACCTTCACCTCTAATTCTTATCCAATACTGTACGAAACCATTCCCCCTTTTTTTTTTTAAACCCTTTGGGAAGCAGGGAAGGTTAGAACATGTCGTTGCTTTTAATATGTAAAAAGCTGTAAAAGTTGGACACTTGGACTATACATGTGCGTTTATTTTATAATAATTATCACAGTATCTGACCAATATGATCCCAAATTAAATTAGGTAGGGGAGGCGCGCGCCTCTCCAGTAGTACTAACGGCTCCTAACTCCTATTTAGGCTTCATTAATAAAATAAAATAAATAAATGCTGGGAAATCCTATAACATGATGCAGTAGTAGAAGTAAGTAGTAATAGTAGTCAACTGCTCTCTCCATTCAACTACAGCAATTAAAACACCGCTATCTCTAATTAAATTGCCCAGCTGACCCATCTTATCTCCATCTCCATTTTTGAATTTCCACTGTACGTTGCTACAGTCTTATCTGATCACATTTTGCCTTGCACACTGACTAGCCTCTGCAATATTTTTCTTTAAAAAAAGTAGAAAGTTTGTTGGAATGCTTTAATTATGTTACTTATCGGTTCGACTACTAGTACCATGGTGGCGTAGTTGTTGTTCGGTCAATGAGTCGGGGTTCATGGGTGAAGCGCGTTGAGGGGCTCAACTCAAACAGACCCAGGTTGGGGGTTTGGGGTCAATGCCATCTAATCCAAACATCATATGATTGAGCGTTGTACTAGTTTTTAGCTCATTTCTTCTATATTTATTTAATTATTTATCTATCTATATCTATATCTATACTAAATATTGTGACGGTTCAAAATTTATTTTTTGCCACATAAGCACTTAGAGGATTCACAAGATGCCAGTGTGAAAATTTTTTTTACAAACAAAAAATTTAGTTATTGATATATTATCGAGCTATCTCTCTTATTAAATCTTATCAAGTAAATATTTTTACTCATTTTTACTAAAATATAAAAATAATTTAGATGAAAAATTTGAACAAACACATAAATAATATATTTTTTCAATTAAAAAATATAAAGATGAAAACAAAAGATGACATACATCACATTTATTTAATCCAATAATATCTGATTAAATCTACTCGACTAAATATTTTAGTAATTTTTATGAAACTTAATAATTATTTATATTTTCAAGAAAAATAAACAAATGCACATTAAAAGTAATATTTTATAATAAAATAAAATATAACTATGGAAAGAGAGAAAACAAGTGTTTGACAATGAATCGATTTTGAAAAATAAGCTATATGACTTTATATTTCTTCTTCTTCATAATGTATATGTTGATGGAGCAATAGGTCTGAAATATTTTTGATAATCAAATAAAAAAATATTATATAGCAAAAGGTCTGATATAAACTTGACCGAGCAATAATAGTTATTTCTTAAAAAAGCTTCTTATTCATTACAGTTAAGTGAAATCATATATTCATGTTCTGCTTTAAATTCTTCAATGAAGACGAATCACATGTGAAATAATTTATAATGTGCCCTAGGTTCACATTAAATTTTTTGTTCTAGATCATGTTGATGGAGTAAAATCTATTGAAGTCATAAGTTGTATGCTAAGAAGTTTTCTTTCCATGCTTGGAGTTATTGTCGAGGATTATAAATCAAAATTTTTAAAATACGTTAAGTATGATTGTTAACGAATGTTGATTTCATAGTCTAGGAGGAGACATGAGATACCTTGAAAAATGACACATATGAAGGTAATAAAATTTTGTTAAGGATGTATGACAAATAACATTACGGTCATCAACCCTGATCACCTAGGCATTGATCAAATAAGGGAGGACAATTTTTGCTTATTGTTGATTGTCTTGGTAGAGATATCCAAATTCAAGGGTTGAGACCATAAATAAACATCAGTGAGTTAGTTGAGATAGCTAATAAAAAATGATGAAATCTTGAGAGTCACAAGAGTCTAAATCGGGGTTGAGTTAAAAATGATGAATCTACGATGAGCTTAGTAAGACATATATAAGAAATCAATTGGTTATATGGATGTGAGCATGTGACCAGTGGCAGACCCAAAAATTTTATATAGGGGTGTCCCATTTAAAAATTAAAT